TGCTTTTAAAGGATTTATTTATATATGCTTGTGACCAAGTCATCCCACATGATTTTACTAGGCACTTTTTCTTGTGCAGCTTGTTTCCAAAACAATCGCAGGAGAAATCAACAAAACCAAACACTGGTAGTTTCAGGTACTTCCTGAAAACCATATGGGCTATGAAACTCAAAGTCAAGGCCAAATCCCCAGAAATCCATGTGTTTACTGGGCTTTGCATTCAAAGCAATGAGTCATATGATAAATGCACTGTGCAACACTAGACACAATACTGTAGAGACAGGTCTTTTGCTTTAATTTTTAATTTCCATTTTCTGTGGGTTTATATAAACCGTCAACATTACTTTAGCATAATCCTTTGCGATGAATCAATACTCTAATTTAATAATGGCATTCCGTTGTCAACATACAATATATCACATAATGTCCTTGAATAGATGCAAAAAAAATATGCCAAATAAAATGAAAGGCTTTGCTTTCCTCAGTGATCACAGGTTTAATCAATGTAATGAAAAACTCTACAGCCCCCCAGATGACTTTCCTTCAGGGTTAAAAATCAGCATGGAATAATTTTAGCCATGTCCCTCCCACTCATGGTGCCAGTGCTGTGCAAGCTCTTCTAGGTCACAGGATCCCAACAATCACGTTAATGAAAGGAAGAGAGAAGAAATATATCTGAACAGAATCGATGTACATATCTGAGTGGGTCTTGTTTGAATATTCCACCTCTTTATGAATTCAGCAATAGCTGCTCTAGTCCCTAACTATAAAGAAGATTAAAAATGGGAAACGGAATTCAGTCTGGTGTCCTCCAACTTAATTGAAACAGATGAAGCAAGTTACACATATACATATGTATGTATATATATATGTATGTATATGTATATATATATAGCTGTAAAATATGAAAAATAAAATAAATTACAGTAACTTTTACTACAGTGATGTGCCTACACATCTGCATTCGTTATCTTTACCTCGATGGCAGCCTTCTGTCAACAAGTATCTAAGATGGGAAACACAATGTAATCATGTCTGTGGTATTGACTGAAGGTATCTGAATAGAAAATAAGTGAGAATGAAGAAGAAGCAAACTCTCTTAAAACTCCCAGTTGTTTGCCTCAGTATATTTTTTTTTTTCAATTCAACAGCTTTTGGAGCATTTAAAATTGGTAGATAAGTGGCATATTAATCTCAGTTAATGCCAAGGGCACGTGCTCCGCAGTCACGTGTGCTTCCCTCGATTCAATGACAGCTCACGCTCGTCGTGCCAAGTGTTCGTGGTCCATGTCACTTGCTGGCAGAATGCTTCAGAGCTCTGGGAAGAAGAGTAGGTCTGGTTTTACTACGGTTTGGCACCTCCCACAACACCCTCCAGTTGGTGAAAACCCCGCAGTTCCATCTAAGTGTCATCCTTAATGTGAAAAAGATACTTGAGTCAGTGCAAAATAAAACAAAGAGCTTTTACCAAAATGTCAGAGCTGGTAGCAGTGCATCTGCCAGATGCTTGTTACTTGAACCCATGCTGCGCATAACAAAGAGTCAGAGATATGACGAGGATAAATGACTGGACCAAAAAAATCTTTAGCAGGAAATCAAAGTCTACTCAGACTCCCAAAAAAAAGGGTTGCAATTGGACTTCACAAGATATATTGATTAAGTGTTCTGTAACATCTCTTTTCTTGGTTACTATGCATCAGTTGAGCCCCACCTGCCTGACCTCAGTTCTCTGCATTAGCCTTTAGCCATATGAACACGAGAGAAACCACAGTGCTATTTCATAGCTGAATTCACACAGGAATTCTTTTAAGTACAGTATCTCAATTCGAGGATAATAACATTACTGAAGGACCCAGAATACCATGAAAAATGCATATTGGAAAAATCAGGGCATGACTCTTTAGAAATGAAACCAATGGCTTGATAAAAATAAAACCTCACTAGCATGTTCCAGTCTGTTGGTTGATTTCTCTGATCTACAGGCTGGACTATCCCTCTGAATCAGTAACTGACTTTTACACAGAGCACTGGATGAAGAGGCTTAGGCTGAACAGGCATAATCCATACGTGATCATGGAAAACACACCAGACACAAGATACAGAGAGAGATTTGATGAGTAAGTGGCTTTTGCTTAGTCAGAACCTGAAGGATCTTCATCAAGAACTTTCAAAACAGCTAACAGATAGCTTGACTTTGAGTGAAACACAACCAAGAATTATTGTCATTATGCACACCCACAAAAAAGAGAGATTTCACAACATCTCCTCAGATGAATACACACACCGAGAAAAGGCTTTACCAACACTTATTCAGGTGGGCAATCATCTGGCTTCCCGCAGAAATAGCTCCTGATTTGCCTTCCATCTTCCTAAGTCCTGTTTTGAGCCCGTTTCAACATGTTAAAACAATTAAATAAACTACAACACAAACCAGTATAAATAAAGATAGCTGCTTCTTTTCTTAAAACCTGTGAAATGCTAAATAACCTATGACTCCCACCCACATATGTGCCTTGCCAAGCCAGAGGATGACACAAGGGCGTACACTATTTTGAAGACTGGCCCATGAGATTCATCCTGTCAGATCTGTATTCACAAACTACAGCAGGATCCATGACTTTCATTTCAATAGCAGCTGGAATGACGGGCGCAGAAGGAACATGCAGCTCAACCTGGGAAATTAGGATGAATTTGTTTTTAAGTAAAATTCCCTTTCTTACTGAGAGCTATTAGTGGCAGATGCAGATACTTGCTGTGGGGTCACACCATGTCAGCAGTTCACAGCACAAAGACTGCATTTCTCCTTTCTCTCCCCTCAGCGGATACTGCAGCCTCAAAGAATTTTTCATGTATCCTTAGAGATGCTTATATGTATCAGGAGAGTACAGCTGTAGGCTTTAAAAAAATGTCCATATGCCCTACAAATTCAAATCCTTTTTTATGTAATCTATTTAATCTTCCATTAATGATAAGCTCTGCTATCAATGTGCCCAAACAGGGTCAATTTCTGCTGGATTTGCACTTCTTGCATTTCCATCCTATAACTGAGCTGCATTTAACGAAGGGAAACACCCTGCTGTAAAACTGTAAAAGGTATTAGCAGCCTCCCTAAAACAAAAAACAGTTAGAAAGCTTTGCAACTGCCAGGAACATTTCAAGATTGTCCTTTTTTTCCTTCTTCCTTTGTGTGTCTTGCATGGAGGAGAGTCCTGCCAGCTGAACATTATTTATTAATCAGGATATTCCTGCCTTCTATACCTTGTAAGGAGACAGCCTACAGGGGCGGAAATTGCTGTGGACTTCTCTTACATATCCAACGAGACAGAAAGGGGAGAAAGGAAGAGATTGCAAGGGAGCATTTAGATCCCACCTGGCAAGCTCAGGCAAATACACATAGATCACAGCAGTCTGAAGAACCATGTAGTATATCTTGTTCACACAAAAATTAAAAATAAACGTATGAGTTGAGAATCTGGTTTCATTTGCTGTTTTGTTTTTTAAGAAGTGCCCTACACAGGTCCCTACACCTGAGTGAAACAGGTTGTGTTGAGCTCCACAAATGATTTTCCTTCTGGTAACTTCCAACTACCTTAGGCTGTAGCTACAGAACATGCAGGCTTGGACACACCTGTAAGGGCTGCTTCTCCCTCAATTACTGTGGCAGACACAGGCAAAACGAGTTACTGCCTCCTTAGCTCTTCTGATTTAGTGATAGTTTCATTCGTAATCATTCCCAGCCATCCGCCACCTGCACACCCACCCACACACACACACACATCCAGTTTGCTGCTCTTCTCCCAATTTTGTCAATTCAAAAGATCAGCTTGCACTGCCTATCCTCCCTGTCCCAGCGCTTATCAACAGAGAGATTTAACAGACAAAATAAAGTTCATGTTGCTTTCCGACAAAATCCTCCAGCAGAATACCCCTACAACAGCATACAAAAGGGGAGCCCCGGGCTGTAAAAGGGCTTCAATTGAACTGACGTTCCCAGCAGCAGCAGCAGCAACTAAGAGTTAATGGAGGGCACCCGGCTTTCCACTTCCTCTACTGCATCCAAGAAAGCGCAGAAGAATACTATAATGCAGTGTAACTGAGCGTTTCACTGAATAGCACCGCACAGAAGTTCTTTCGTCAAAGAATTGCATTTGTCCTAAGTAACCTTTATGAGAAGCCGAAAGTTGATGCACCCAGACCAAATGGATTTTCAGCTTTAGCCCGAATCCTTAGGTTTGCGCTTGGGAGGGTGGGAAGAACCAGCCACCAAGCATCAATCGGAGAACTAGCCCCCTCCTCTGCTTAAAAAAAAAATAGTCACGGCAACACGGCGCCGTGGCTACACACGGGAGCCGGCAAAGCGCTAGGATGGGTCCGCACACCCGCGGGGTGCCCCGCGCTCCCTCCCGGCGGAGCTGGCAGCAGCTCCTTCAGGAGCCTGACACTGGGACGGGGAGAGCATCCCTGCGGAGCTCGCCCTCGTTTCGAGGCAGACGGGTGTGCGGGAAACCAAACTCCGTCCCCAGCAGAGAGCACATGCACAATCCAGCCCGCACCTGCTGAAGACCACGCTCTCCACACTGCCCCTCACGGAGAGGGGTCATCACCGGTCCCTCTCGCTCAGACACCTCCCAGCATCTCCTAAGTACCTTTCGCGGAGCAGCCTAGAAGGGGAAAAGCGGGAGGGAGTCTGCAGCCTTCCTAAAACCACAGTGAAAAGCAGTCTGCTCAAATGGCTGCTCCTGCCTCAACATCCATCACACAGGCAGGGAACTTGCCGGGGGTAAAAGGGGGCGCAAGCAGGGAAGGGAGAAAGAAGCGCAAACTTCGGAGCTCTCCGGCCTCCCGCAGGGCAGCAAACCGCACGGGAAGGACGCGGCGCCCACCTCCGACCGACGCATCGCCCCGGCCCGACCCCGCCGGCGCTCGGCCAGCGCCGGGTCCGGACGGGGCGAGGCGCGCACCGGGCGGCCCGAGGGCGCGGGGCGGCCGGCGACACTTACGGGTTTTGGGGGTCGTGCTGGCCTCCGGCGTGGTGGTGGTGGACTCCTGGAAGGGAGACAAGGTCCAGGACGGCGCCGAGTCGTGGACGTAGATCTTGTAGGAGGAGGTAGCGTGTGCCGCAGTGGGCCAGGCGGGCAGCGGCGGGGTGCTGGGGGCGGCGGGCGGCGGCCGGGCTCCGCGGCCGGCGGTGCCGGGGGGGCCGCTGGCGGGCGGTGCCGTGTGCGGCGACACGGGGTGCCTGGCCGCGGTGGGCCGCGGGCCGCCCCGCGCAGGGCCGCGGGTGCCGGGGGGCCGCGGGGGAGCCCGGCTCATGGTGGTGAGGCGGGGGCTGACACGGCTGGGCGGCCGCGGCGTGGCGGCGGCGGTGGTCTCCGCGCCGCGGGGGGGGGCGGTGGGCTTGGAGAGGAAGAAGGGGTCCTGCCCCACGCCCTTGGCGTCCATCAGCTCGGTGGGGACGTACTCCTTGACGGAGCCCACCACGATCCACTTGAGCAGCATGAGGCTGAGCCCCAGACCGATGAAGCCGATGAAGAGGGGTACCACGCACAGCCACGTCTGCTGCCGGTTCCAGACGATGCAGTCGCTGCAGCGCAGCTCCCGCGGCGGCCCCCCGGCCCCATCCCCGCCCGGGCCCCCCGCCGCGGCCGCCGCCTCCGCCGCCCCGGGCGCCGCGGCGCCGGCAGCCCCCTCGCTCATCCTAGGGGCCGTCCGCAGCGCCGCCGCGGCCCCGGGGCATCAGCGCGCCGCGGCTGCCGGCGGCATGCGGCGGAGGAGAGCGGAGGGGAGCGCGGCGCGGTGCGGAGCGGGCGGCGGGAGCGCCCCGCTCAGTCACGCCGCCGGCACGGCATGCCCCGCGCCGCGCCGCGCCGCCCCGCGCAGCCTCCCGCGGCCGCGGAGTCAGCGGGACGGCCGCGCCATCCGCCGGGCGCCCGGCTCAAGCGCTGCTCGCTGCAGCCTCGTCGCTCTTCTTCTCGTCCCTCCGCTATAAGGCTTTTCTTTTCTTTTCCTTTTCTCTCTTTTTTTTTTTTTTTTAATTTTTTTTTTTTCCGGGTAGTAAGTCGCAACGATCAGCCTCCTCGGTTTATTTCTTTTTTTATCCCAAGCATGCGGCTCCGGCGACGGGCAGGTACATTCCTTCACATTCACGCACCTTCTCGCCTTTCCTCTCCCCTCGGGGCTTGGGGGATCCTTTCTTTCCTTCTTTCTTTCCTTCCTTCCCTCCCCCGCCCGCTCGGCTCCTGCCTATGCCCGGCCGCGGCGCAGCAGCATCCCTCGGCGGCTCCGCGGGGAGGCGGCGGCGCGGCGCACCCGCCACTCCGCGGCCCCGCGGCCAACCCGCGGCCGGCGCCGGGCCAGGGAGGCCGATCCGCGGGCGGGGCCCGGGGCAGGAGGCACGGCTCGGCGCGGCTCCGCGCTGCTCCTCCGCGCCCGCGCTAAGTCCGGCCCGGCATCGAAACTCCGGCGAGGATTCCCGGGGAAAAAAAAAAAAAAAATAGCAAAAGGAAAAAAAATTAAATAATCCACACACACGCAAAAATAAAAATTAAGATGAAACCCTGGAGGGGAGCGGCAACGACCCAGTCGGCAAAAAAATATACGGATCCGGCAAGTAGATGGGCACGCAAAGGCAGCTCCTGCCAAGCTTGCAGCTTCGGCTCGATTGTGTATTCCTCTGGCAGCGCCGCGGAGGCAGGCGAGCGCGCACCGAGCAAGGCGCCTCCCACCAAAGCCTAATGGTGGTTTCTTAATGCGCACAAGATAAATAAATGATCCAGGCAAACCCCTCGGGAGGGTGTATGGTACGGCAAACGGAGCCTAGGAAAGAAAGGAAAGGAAGGAAAAAGCAAAGAAAAAGAAAAGAGAAAGGGGCGGGGGTGCGGGGCGGGGGCGAAGCTCCCGAGCCCATCCTGTGGTAGCGTTCCAATGGGCTGGTGCTGCATGGCAGGAAAGACCTGTGTGCAGGGAGGGGCAGGAGACACCTCCGCAGGGAGCACCGCCACGGCCGGGGCTCAGGACAGCCGCTCTCCCCCCTCGGTGCCATCCGACAGCTATCGACTGGCAGCACTTTGTTGCTCTTGCTTCTAAGGGGATTCGCTAAAGAAAACAAAAACAAAACAAGGCACAACAACACACCTGCAGCTAAAGGACATTTCTTTCAGCATCTGGGGAGAAACTGATGGCACAGCCGCGTGCTGAGGTTGCCAGATAAGTTTTGATACCTTAACTACTCTGGCTTATTTGGTCTACACCGAAGTTGAAGTCCCAAGTGCAATGTAGTCAACAATGGGTGCTTTCACTTTTTGGACAAACATTTCACCAGCTAGGGTGGTCACTGAAGGATTAACAGCAGTTTGCCAAAGGTGGCTTAATCTCCATTTCCAAAATTTTAGAAAATACTCTGTAGAATTATACAGGTACAGATGTTTTTAACCCTATTTTCTGACCTGTTAGCTTATTGGTGTCCATTTCTGGTATTGATGCATAGGTATCATTTCCATAGTCATGTATTTAAGGGTATTGGTATTTCTACAGGGTAAGTGAGCAGAAAAGTTCAAAACAATCTGTGAAATGCATTTGTTCTGTGTATAAAAAGACAAATAGAGAAAATAAAATATTGCAACTGAAACATACATGCTTGATTTTTTTTTTCTCCAGAATGAATGTTAATACCATTTAAATTATTAATGTTACATTAACTAGATATCTAGATTATTGTCACTTCAAGAACTCCATCTGGAGTTTGGCAGCTCCTCTAAGATAGTTCTGTGCTAACAGCCATCAGGAAGATGTGTGGAAGTGGCTTATCAGGTAAGTGTACAATGTAAACACTTGAAAAAATCCCCCCACTTTGACATTCGAAAACATGAATTTAGGGATTTCTACTACTTTAGTGAAGACGAAAAAGGATTCAGAGAAAGCACTTAGAAAGAACCACAAATGGATGCTAAATAAGGCAAACAAATGAGAATGATGGGGAAATCTTGCAAATCCAGAGAATTTTTTCACTGATTTTATATAAGTCTGGAACCAGGTGCGTTCAGTCATGAGTGCCTATCCTACAAAGTTCTCACCTTCCTTTTAAGCTTGGAATACCTTTGTCCTGCTATGTGCTTTGTGTTGTCTGTACAAGTGTCCTTTGGCTCCTGCCTCTTCCATAACCATATTGCAGTTCACTAAGCCCAGTATGAATCACTCTGTCCTCATCCTCAAATAATTAGTCCGTGCTTCTTGGAAGAACAAAAATGTTTCACAACATTTACAAGACACAGAGCTTTGATTTTTCTCACGACTATGTCCTGAACTCTCAGAATTTCAGAAGTCTCAACTGCACTTCTTCCCCCACTAAGATTTTCAAGCTATCAGCTCCTAAATTTTGCAGTGGTTCTAATGGAAGACATCAGGATGTGATACCATTAAGATCACTCAAGTGTAGCCATTTCATTGTTTAATATTGGAAGACTTCCTGTGTTATTAGTAAAGATTTTCAGGCTTCTTTTCTTACAATTTTTCAATCTTATTGAAGATTGATGAACTATTCTTGAAATTGATTATGGAATGCTTTCCATGTGCCTTACTTAAATGAATTACTTAAAAACAGGCATTACCCTGATAAGTTAATCATGATCTTACCAATGACTATTAGCTTCTTGAAGAAAATTCTTCGGTCTAAAAATATGAAATGGATCTTGATACAAGAAGCTTCCCTTAACCTCATGGTAAATGCAAATGTATTCCAAATAGGTTATCCTACAGTTAAAAAAAAAGAAAAAGTCATTCATCTAGACAGACACCTTAATGAAGGCAATACATGAAAATGTCTTCCTGTAATAACTTAGTCATGAGTTAAAATGTTATGATGTATACAAAAACACAGTCTCTGAATGCTTTTAGGTTATTTCTCTGTCCTTAAAAATTAATATTCAAATCATAATCAGTTTCTCAAATCAGCCCACTCTTGTTAAACTGAATCTGTTCCATGCATTAATTCTAATTTACGTAGGTATTTGGTAGCTCTCATTTGCAGTTCTTCCTACTCATTTTGTATCATAGCCCAACTCCTTTACTTTTTCTGGAAATATGTTTATCACGATCAGAAAACAATATGCAATTTATTTTTCTTGACTTTTCTTCATAATATGCAAAGAAATCTGTAGTGTCTCCTTGAGGACATCTGTGACTGGAGTGGATTAAAATTACTTATCTGTGATGGAGTCAGCAGTGGTATTTTCTTCAGGGCTGGTGAGACACAGCATGTAACAGGTATGCCATTTGTGCATGTATCACTTGGTTTGTCACTGGGGGTTCCACTCTGGCTGCCAGTAGGTATGGCCCAGCTAATGGCTGTGCTACAAGGGTGCTGCTCCTGCTTGGCTTCACACCAGCCTACAGCCATTATTTCAAATAATGAACTGTAATGGGTGTGTTAGGGGACTTAGATTACTGCATAACTCTTATCATGGAACCAGATCCAGAAACCTCGGCATAGCTATCCTCAGAAGAGCCAACAAAAGAAGCAGAAATTCAAATTTGGAAAACTAGAGCCATGAAATGGAGCTACATCCATTTCAGCATGTAAACAATATGCACACGGGATGCCTATATCCCAATCCTGCATACACACACAGTTAAAAGCCTTGCTTTCCTCCCCAGCTTTACAAAACCCTGAAGGCATTCCTTGTTATCATGTAAGTATCGTCTGTGGTTTTGAGCAACAAAACCTGCACAGTAACTTTGCTTTATGGTGTAATCAGCCCCTGAGAGCATCACCAGCCTTGAATTTGTGAGTTGCTCCAGCACCCGCCTCACCTGCTGTGTTCTGGTACTTCAGCAGGTGGATATGGTGAAGAAAACAGAATTTCCCAAAGGATGCCTGAATTGGGGTTGGTTATATAAATAGGTTTCCAAACTGCTTCCCAAACTAGGGCATTTGAATATTCTTTACTTACTTCTTCCTCTTAGCTTTCATCCCCAGCTCAGCAACATCATACAGATCCCTAGTGGTCAACCATCATCATCAGGCAGGGAAAGCCTTGCTTTTGTCTGAGCTCAGCATGTAACTGTATTCCCTTTTCCAGGTGAAAAGCACAGCCAGCATTCCAGTGGTGCCATTAACCAGTGCTCAGAACCAGAGTGCTCCTCCCCATGCTGATTGCTAAAACAGCCATTAGGCAAGACAGACCAAGCTTTACTCAGTTATCGTGCTGTGGGGGGATTTGGGCTAGGGACCTGTTTGTAATGTGGTACCTGAAGTATTCCTCTGAATTCTGACCCAGGCTGTTAAGGGTTCCCCCTGCACACAGATGCAACAAGTGAGAAAAGCACTGCAGAGCTCCACAGCACAGCAGCCATGTGAGATGTGAGCAGGCTGCTCGTTTGCATTATGTCAGTCTCAGGCAGGTGTGAGGTGAGTGACACCTAATTTTGGGTTAAGGAGAAGAGCCTGCTCTCCTTCACTGCAATATAAACTCTGAATAACAACCTCATGGCTAAATTAATTGGGTAAAGTAGACCTATCCTGTCACATAGTGCAAGTGTACTGGTTCCTCCTCAAGAACCAGCAGCCCCAGGTTACTCAAGTGATGTGTAGCAAATTTGCAAATGCCAAGGCTGCCACTAAATATTTAGAATTACACTTGAATGTGCACTAATGAATATATACAATTTAAATATTTATCTTGGCATGGTTTGTAATGATG